GCAAGAAGGCCAACACACTTTCAAATGACAACAAACTTTTAATTCTTAAGAATATTTAGATCATGGAAATTAAGTCAAAATATTAGATACCTTAAAAAACTTGAATAAATAGTAAATAAACATTTTCTAACAAAAAGTGCAAAGTAACAAGTAGAAAAAAGAAAAATGTACAAATAACTTCTATAGAGATGTTTTAAATTTACAAATAACTTGTATGGACCTTCTTTTCTCTGTAAATTAAGGGTACACTGTATTGCTGAAAAACACAATCCCTACTTATCAGTCAGATGTCCGTATGCACAAAGGTACAGATCCCTAAACAAGGCCATATCTGCAGATGTAGCAAACTTTGTTTGTAGAAGCATTTTTAAAATTTGAACTTGCACCTCATGACTACACCACGTTATGTAAGAGAAGCTGCAAAAGAGACAGGCGCAAGTGGAATGCAAAAAACATGGCGACATTAATTTTTATGTAAATATAATGGGCAATATATTGCGTCACCAAAAATGATTGCGGTCATGTACATATATTGTGCGATAAGTCGATATATTGATTATTGCGGCAGGCCTATTTGTAGTCACATGAATTGTACTTCAGTCTTTAAGCCGCACAGTAGTTCTTCTATCACTATGAACTTCTGTGCAAACAAATCTAAGATGCCTGATGAAATGGTGTCTTTTTTTAAACTTTAAGAGCTCTGTGGTAATATTTTTAATGTGGATTCTGTCTGAGTTGTCTAGTAGTACATATCTAGAGTTCAAACACATGTCCTAAGACATGCTCACTGTAAAGCTGTTCACATGAATCACATTCCCCTTGAGTGGTCTGAGGAAGCCAGTCAGACACTATCAGTTCTAGTCATGTTTTTTATATGATTTGTGTATTTGGCTCTGGTATAAGTGCTCACGAACACTAGAATCCCATTATAATTCCCATATCACAATATAAAACTGCAACAGCTTAGGCATAAAAACAACACCATACCAACTACATTGAAGTCACCGGAGATGCCGCAGAGCAATATCGCACCGAACAGATACCGCGGGCCCACTCTGATCATCACTTGATAGTGTGCTGACAAGCAAACTCTATTAAGCTGTCTTCAAATATGCAAAATGATATGATTTTACAATGATTACATATTCACTTCCCAGCTGGCTGGCTCCGTGCAGCTCCATTTGTCATTGACTATTGTGTCCAATTATATGATTAGCTCCAAACACTCCGCCACTTGGAGAGCTCTCGTGTGTTCCAGTGCACTGACTGATTCACAAACAAAGTCATTACAACATGTATTCACACATATCAAATAACAAACAGATGGCCATTGTGCGCCGGCTGATTTGTTTGTAACACGAGCGGCAAAAAAAAGGTAGTTTTTTGCTGGGCTTTGTTTAAGCACCGACTGTTTTATTCCCAGAGAGAGACATCTGGCTGCCGAGGCGGCTAAATCAACTCAAATGAAAGACAATCTTGTTTCCATTAATTTTTCCTGTGGCAAAAGCACTTGTTATGAAGATTTGAAATTACTGAGAAAGCTTCCAGATAATTCATCATATGGGCCGGACAGAAGACCGCAGTTGCTCAGAGAGTGTCTGTCTCCATTAACTTGCTGTGATGTATATCAGGTGGGGTGGCTGAAGTGTGTGTGTGTGTGTGTGTGTGTGTGTGTGTGTGTGTGTGTGTGTTAGCATTTGCAATGAACAACTTACAATAGCATAATACTGTAGGCTTGGGCAAATTCTTCCATCCATAAGGAACTGAAGCATCATTTTGCTGAATGTATATGGCGCCAAAAAGTGTTTGGACATTTAAGTCACATTAAAAATGTCCTAATTCCATTGTGTTTGTTGTAAAATATCAAACCAGGTGGTATCTGCAAAGAAATTATGTTAGAGCTTCCTCAGAATTAACTTCAGTTTTTCAATTGTTTTTAACAGGTCTCAAGGTCATTTTTATGTATGATGTTAGTTCCCCTCAAGTTCCCACTGGTGTATTCACTCATATTAAAGACCGTTTAAAAACAGAAGTTGCTACTGAATTTACTTCAGTATTGTGACTTATTACCAAGTGAAATGGAATAATGAAAGGGAAAAAATAGAGAGTGGGGCTAGATATTTAAACACTTCCTCGCCATCAAGTTGCCTTGTTAGACTGCTCGAGAAGCAATGTTTTAAAAGCACCACAGTGTTTACACTCTTCAGGAAGAGTAACTGCTTGTTTCTGAATAGTAAACTTGGATTGAAGACCGTTTTGAAGAAATGTACATATATCAATTTTAATTAAGCTTAATCAAGTAAAGTGCAGGGTATAGATTGAGTGTATGGGTATTTGATGCATAACAGATTCATGGATTTTTTTTTTACAACATCATTTTTTAAGTTTAAAATTGATATTAATGTATAAGGTCTTATAACCAGTCACCACTAGTCAAAATTTTACAATTTGTCCCTTTTTTTCATGTAAATTGTCCTGCAGTGTGGCATAAATTAAAAAATTGCAAATATTACATACAGTCTCTCAGTAATTATTAGGTCACAAAAGCTGCAAAACATGAAGAGTAATTATAACAGAATGAGAAAAGAAACACTTAGATATAGCAACAGTATGTGTCAGCTTCCCAAAGAAGAAATCAGTCCATCTGTCAGCAGTCACATATTTTATGGAAAGTTAAAGAAAACGAAGAGAAATTTTTCACTGAAAACATATTTTAAAACTATGAGTAGATATAATGCCTCTTTCAAGTAATTTGTTAACATTACATGACAGCACCTGATGGTGATATTGGGACAAAGCACTGTATGAGTAGCATAAATGTGCCCTGGTCAGTAGCGCCACCTGCTGGCTTCTTATATACTCAAGTTTACAGTCGTGCTGTACCAAAATACTGTTTCAGTTCATTTTTAATTGTGATTAGCTGATCAGCTTGTATTAAACAAAATGGAATGTATGTATGTGTGTGTGTGTGTGTGTGTATATATATATATATGTTATCATTCAGTACTTTTCTTTTCTTTTCATTGTCATTAAATGCCAAAATTATTAGAGATAAAGTGCTCTAATGTAATTTAATTACCTTTTCACTTTTTGGGAAATTTAATGTGCATTACATGCCACATTGAAAGGTAGTATCTCATTTTACACTTCTAAAATGAACAAATATACAGCTATGCACTCCTTTTGAACTAACCTCTTCAAAGACATTCGCTGTTTCTGAAGTTCATACTTGGTATGATAAAAAGCATGCTTAGAAAAGACTAACATGTTATGCACAGATTGTGCAAAGACTGCAAAGAAAGTGTTGCAATGCAATGTATTTCAAACATCTTGCAGTGATTATGTAACAACACACTGTAAACCCTGTAAAAAAAGAGGTAATTTTTAAAATAAATTTTTAATTTAAGAAAGTCAAAGTTTAAGTATGCAATTACTCTTAACCTGAGTAAGCTAACTCATACATTTAACTTAATATTATCATGTAATCTCAATTTAAACATTTTTTTTTTTTGTAGTGGAAACTTAACTAGTTATAACTAGCTAATTCAGTAATACTAACTTGTTAATTGGTAACACAATGCTTTGATTAGTATATTGCTGAATGAGTAAGGCAATAAAAAACATTCAACATAAACCAAGCTCATTGCCATGATGGCATTAGCATAGCAAAACACTGAACACTACTAAATCTCCCATTACACAATTTTACAAAATGGAATGTATGTATGTGTGTGTGTGTGTGTGTGTATATATATATATATGTATATATATATATATATGTATGTATGAAGAGTTCAGATGCAAAAGCCTAAGTACGTCTGACATTTTTCTTTAAAATTAGCATTTATTTCTGGCTACTATATATAGGTTTCTATGTAAGTACTGTTACATCTGAAGGGGTTGAGGCTGGGATTTAGTGCATTTGAAGTGAAAGTAGGCCTACTTGATGAACATGTACTATGTGTGGAGAGCATTCACTCAGTGTCATTATCTCATTTTTGACCAAGATGGCTTTTAGAGGCTTTTGTATTGAAACTCTTCATATATATATGTGTATACTCTAAAAAAAATGCTGGATTCTTTCAATGCAACTTTGGGTCAACAAATGGACTAACCCAACTTTTGGGTTTCAAATGTAATGTAAACATTTAAGCCAATTGTTCGGTTAGTCCATATTTGACCCAAAGTTGTTAATTGGTAACACAATGCTTTGATTAGTATATTGCTGAATGAGTAAGGCAATAAAAAACATTCAACATAAACCAAGCTCATTGCCATGATGGCATTAGCATAGCAAAACACTGAACACTACTAAATCTCCCATTACACAATTTTAGCATTTACTCTTCATTTCAAGTGCCATGGCAAAGCATGCTGGGAAATAGAAATCCCAGCCCAGTTTCAGTTCAAATTTAAGTTTGTCTAAATAAAAAGAAACAAGTTCATTAAATTAAAAACAATGAAACAATTCAGATGACTTAAAATATGCCAGTTTCATGAACTCAAAAGAAAAAGAAAGTTTGAAATACTCATAAAAGTAGATTTGTTTAAAGTAATTTGTTTAATTTAAGTTTGCCCTACTCAAACCAATTCATTATTTTGAGAGTTAGGGTTTACAGTGCATCCCCACAATGGCCTAATTTTTACATGTATACGAGAAAACTAAACATTTTATTAATACTACATTATATATGGCTCTAACTGTAGCATCCCAATTTAGAACTTGAATCTTTCTCAATTTAAAAAACTCTAAATTTTTAAAACAACACACGTTTGTCTTAAGGTGTATTCACACATAAAGCGATTTGCAGCATAAGTAATTGTGCAGTGTGTGGTGATGTGTATTTGGCAGCAAAACTGATAAAAGTTTCACTTTAAGCAAATGAGCAGTGATGCAATGCAGCAACTACCAATGAAGACACTGGAGCACATATGATCTGTCTCGTAAGTTGACTGCGTACTTACTGCGAGCAGTTTCACTAATTAGTATGATCATTCATTTTTTTCTGCAATTTAAATCTTATTCTGTAATTTAATTGCAAAAATGAACATGTTTGCATTCCGTTTACATTGCTTCCGTCAGCTGTATTATTCCTCAGATCATGGCACTGTTCAGGTTGCTGAGCGAGCGAATGCTGTTGGTGTGACGGCTCTTCCTACGAACGCTCCTCAGGTAGTTTCTGTACAAGATCACGCTGATCACACGGTCCTGAAACTGCTTCGACACAATGTAGAAGAGTATGATGTCCAGCACTGTGCTGGCGTTCATCAGGAAGGTGGTGAAGGCCCCCCAGGTGTTGTAACCCCTCTCACTGCTGGCCAGCAGCATGGAAACAAAACAGATGTGGAAAGGCACAAAGCACACCAGCACCTGAACGATCAGTGTGATGATGATCCGGATGGACTTCTGCTTGACTTTGGGCTTCAGTTTGGACGTGCGTCCATGGATAAGGTTGTCCACGATGATCATATAACAGCCCACCATGATGCACACCGGCACCAGGAAGAAGAAGACAATACGTGCGAAGTGGACTGGATTGTCTCGGCGCAAGTAGATGATGTCGTGCATCTTGATGCAAGTGGTATAGTTTGTGTTGCGGTCAGGGTCTTCTTCCAGGAGAACAAGCGGAGCTATGCTGCCCAGGGTCATGATCCAGACTCCCGCACAGGACAGCAAGGCTTTACGGACACTTTTTAGTTCTCGGGTGTGTCGCGGCTGCACTATGGCCACATAGCGATCTGTGCTAATGAGGGCAAAGAGCCACAAGGCCAGGCAGGGATAGAGCACCGTCAGTGCGGCGTTAATCCTGCAGAACACATCTCCAAAGGGCCAGTAGTCTTGACTGTAGTAGACCATTCGAAAAGGCAGCAGTAAGATAAATACCAAGTCCACTAAAGCGACATTGATCATGTAAACAGTAATGGAGTTACGTCTTTTAGTGGTCAAGGCAAAGACCCAGAGGGCAGTCAGGTTGACCACTGTGCCTATGACGAAGATAATGCCGTAAAACACTAGGCTAGCAGTCCGGTACACTTGGGGGACGTGGCCCTCCTTGATGACGGGCGAAGATGTGTTATGGTCCATGATGGTTTGCCTGATTTGACCATAAAAAAAGAAACCAATTTAAAACAGTAGTTTTTTAAAACTATGGAAGCCTGTTTCAGAGTTTTGAAAAAAGTAATAGACCTTAGTCAGAGTAGCACTATATTTAATTTTTGACAGGAATGAATGTGAGGCTGTAATAGAAATTGTTCACTGGATTGTGCCAATTGTTCATCCTTCCAAAGTAGACAAAGTAGTAGTTTTGAAATGTGAAAGTTTGAAAGTTCTAGGAACTTTATACATTGTGTGCCATTGTAAAGACTGTACAGACTGTAAAGACTGACAGCTCATTTTCATCCATGTAAAATTCAATATGGCCTCTACCCTGAGTAAGGTCTATTGAAACTTTAATTATCTTACAGCTGAAACTTTATTTCTAATAACTCTGTAGTACTTTTTGTAGTTTCTTGCAAGTGTGATGCAATGTTTTTTACTCAATGTTTTTTTTTTATTACTTACACTAAATAGAATAGTAACAGAAAACAAATATACACCAGACATATACAAGACTTCTTAACAATTCAGGGAGAAGTTTTAAAGGAATAGTTCATACAAATACAAAAAATAAATAAATAATAAAATAATAAAAAATTACATTTATGTAATTTCAAACCTGTATGTCTTTCTTTTGTCTGTAGAACAAAAAATAGTCTTAAAACTACATGAGGTAAGTAAATGATGACAGAATTGTCGTTTTGGGTGAACCAACCTTTTAAGACATGCCACTTTTTAAATTTTAGTAAAAAAATATTTTTTTTATATTTATTTTTTATATAAAAAAGAGAAGTGAAAGACAACCCTTCTCAAATATGAGTGTTAAGGTAAAAAAAAAAAAGGGGGAAAAAACTAACAAAATGTTGAATATCAGTCAGTATACCAATATATCATAAAAAGAGGAATGTTACTTTCACTACAATTCTTTATTTATTGTTTTGGCTTATCTTTGTCAAAAATCTGTGCAGAATTAATTTATATTCATCAACAGTAATCCTGTACTTTAAATAATCACTCTACAAAAGTTTTTGAATATATACTGTTAATGAATGGTCTACTTACTATAGAAACCACATTTGACCTACAACATTGTCTTCTGATAAGATTGGCTGTTTGTAACAGCTATGGGTTTTCAATGGCCAAATTTTGTTCTACAAGATTACAAAGTAAAAAAATTTAAAGGTACCAACCTCAGAGATCCATGTTGTTGGCATCGTATCTGTTCTGATGGCTGTATGGTTGATGACTATAATGTGCCCTTGCTGCCGAGCTTCGATCTAACGGAGGAAGTCATAAAGCCAGTGTGTTTATTTAGATTATAATTTTTCTTTTGGTTTCTGTGAACCCCTTCACTTCCTGTAATGCATGTACTGGTGGAGAATATATCTCAATAGCAAACTCTATGTCATATGCAGTTTGAGACCAGTGGAAAAGTAAAGATGTGACAGGTTTGGGTGCTGGTTATTGATTGGGAAAATAGGGTTTGTCACACAGTATTAGCTCTCTTGGGAACAGCACACAGCAGGTGGCAACAGAAGGCATCTGGTGTTGAAGAGTTTTAATTAAACACAGGATGCTGAGGTTGGTGGTGTATAAACAGGAAATGAGATCTTTGTTATGTAGGTTTGAGACGGCAGCTCATCTTAAACCCCAGGTATTTATTCAATATAGTGGCTAAATTAACGAAAAATAAAGTACCAACAGGCGTTGACATTTCCCAACAGCACAGCAGTAATGACTTTATGAACTACTTAAATTCCAAGATCAACACTATTAGAAATAAAATTGTAACCATGCAGCCGTCAGCTACCAATTTCAAACCTCAGAAGAATAAAACACCCACTGTGTTGATGACAGATGTTAACATCTTGAGTCTTTGGAGAGATAAATGTCAATGACTTGTTTTATTCTTTTGATCAAATATAAAGTCAAAACAGAAAACACGCAGCCTCAGGCAAAAGCTACATTTCCAGTGCTGCTGTTAACTTCTTCGTAGTACTTTTGTTGATTTTTCATTGTTTGTCCTGGAAGGCATTTCATGGACAAACCACATCAAATGCATACTAATATCTATCATATAGAACTATATAGAACTTAAAGGGATAGTTTACTCTGCCTCATGTCATTCCAAACCTGATTGATTTTCTTGTGTGGAACATAAAAAGATATTTTGAAAAATATAATATCTTAACTAGCCGGTTATATTAAAGCTAGAAATGTCATTTAATGTGACTGAAAAAAAAAAAAAAATTCAGTCTGCTCCTCATACAAAGCTATTGTATGATTTAGGAAGACATGGAATACAGTGCACAAGTTATATGGACCCTTTTTATGATACATTTGTGATACTGTTTTTCTTCTATTTTGGAGCATGACAGTCCTGGTCCTCGTTTATTTCCATTATATGGAAAACAGTGGAGAGATCATGCTTTAGATGCATCGTATGAGTTTTGAACGACATGAAGATGAGTGAACACATGACAGAATTTTGGTGAATTTGTTTAAGAGTTACATGAGGTACATTTTCCGTTCAATTTTTATGATATTGGCTCCAAGTGTTTAGGCACAGTCTCAAGACTCACCTCTAAATGCTGGGTTGACTTTCTAGTAGCCTACTTTTTTTGTATGTTTGTACATTTATTCTCACAATTATATTCCTTCTTAGAGAAAAATGGTATCTGTGAGGATTTCCAGTCAGGATTTAGACCGTATCATAGTACTGAGACTGCTCTCATTAGAGTTACAAATGACCTGCTCTTATCATCTGATCATGGTTGTATCTCTCTATTAGTGCTACTGGATCTTAGCGCTGCGTTTGACACTATCGACCACAACATTCTTTTGAATAGACTAGAGAACGTTGTTGGCATTAGTGGAAGTGCATTAACATGGTTCAAATTGTACTTATCTGACCGCCATCAATTCATAGCAGTGAATGAAGAGGTGTCATATCGATCACAAGTGCACTATGGAGTACCTCAAGGCTCAGTACTAGGGCCGTTACTCTTCACGCTTTACATGTTACCCTTGGGAGATATCATCAGGAAACACGGTGTTAGCTTTCACTGTTATGCTTGATTAAGGGGGCCATCAAAATAAAATGTAACCATATAAAACATTGCATTTTTTTCAGTTGGAGTATTCAGCTCACATCAATTAATTAACATTAGCTCCACAGGAAACACTCAAATAACACTCAACATCTAACCACTCACAAGCTGTAGTAAGATACTGTGCAGATCTTAAATAAACAATGTCAGGATATATAGTCCATTATAAATGTAAAAATAGATTTTATATGGTGTTCATTGTGTGTTATAAATAATCATACTCTTAAACGTATAACCACAAATACGTAAGTATTATGATGTATTATAACTGTTGTTATGATTATTCATGAGTTGATATAACATATTATAAGTTTTTTTATAATGCATTATGCATTCATTATAATGCCTTAAGAATACCCTTATAATGTATTATAAATACGGGCTTCATAGAAAGTGTTACCGATTATTGTAATGCTTTACTGGGTGGTTGTTCTGCACTCTTAATAAACAAACTAGAACCAGGAAGTATGTCCATATTAGCCCGGTTCTGTCAACACTTCACTGGCTCCCTATTAAACATCGTATAGATTTTAAAATCCTGCTAATTGCTTATAAAGCCCTGAATGGTTTAGCACTTCAGTACTTGAGCTAGCTCTTATCGTATTATAGTCCTCCACGTCTGCTGCGTTCTCAAAACCGATGTACTTGTTACATCGTAAGAAAAATGGCATCTACGCTAATATTAGTCTGTTTCTTTCTTATTCCGCGGTGACCGTAGCCACCAGATCCAGTCTGTATCCAGCCCAGATGGTCACTGCAGTCACCCGGATCCAGTCTGTATCCAGCCCAGATGGTGGATCAGCACCTAGAGACGACCTCTACAGCCCTGAATTTCAGCGGAGACCAGGACAACTAGATGAGCCCCAGAGACAGATCCCCAGTGAAGACCTTGTCTCCTAGACGGCCATCGGGACAAGACCACGGAACCAGATGAGCCCTCTGCATCTAACTTTGCTAAAGCATGGATCAACCTGCTGATTCGTCTGGCCAGAGGAGAACTGGCCCCCCAACTG